AGTTCAGAATTTTCACGGAAGATATAATCAAGTCGAATTCCACGATACCCATAGGCAGTACGAGCCCAACTTTCAATGTTTTCCATCATGATTCGGCCATCGCGATTGTTGAACTTTGGGGGATGAGGAGGAAGTGGGTAGGAGTCCCCTTCCATGAGATCCGGATTTTCATCATAGAATTGACCAATAAAAAGAAGATTTGGAATGGTTCCAAGAGCTGGAGTGTGGGTTCTTTGAACCAAAATGAGGAGCTTCCCATATTTGGAGATACGATGAATTGTCATCGATTCGCGAGCGGTGACTCCGATAGTCGCATTTGCATTGTTGGGATCAGGAGCTCTTCGCATAGATTTGATTTCTTCGCGAACTTGAGAAGTTGTTCTGTTGGCGAAGGAGTCAACAGAGTCAAGACCTTCAACGTAGGTCATGTGTTGCGTGAGGATTGGTCGAATAAGGAGATCAACTTCGCACTAGTTACGAAATTGAATAACAGCAGCCATTGTGATGCAATGATGTGTGAACGATTTTTGATGTTTTTGATGTGTTGTTTGGTTTCAGCTCGAAAAAGTGTCGGACTTGAAGTCAGAAATCACCAAAGAGAATCACCAGAAGGCGAACGTTGGTGATATCTGGTAACTTCAAATAATTTAGCCCTAAATGTCAAAGCATCTCATATTGAGAGCTGTATATAAACGTGGCACGGATGATTGCACGCATGGCACGTCTGCTGTTTAGCCTTCGCTAGCAAACAATTTAGTTAACGCTGCAACGTGATTAGCCTTCGGTGCGCATCCAAACGCCGAAATTGTGGCATGAAGAAATCACGAGATCGATACGACGATGGTGATCCTAACCATGGCTGAATGAGGCGATTTCCTCAAACAGATATTATTCGAAAGCCTTCCCAGGCTCCTCTATCCATTGTGGATTGCTTGGGTCTGATAAACCGTTAAATTGAGTAGCGAGGTACGAGAGATTTGGGACGAAAACGAGTACGATGACAAACATGGGGATTTTACAAGATGTGTGCGAATCTCTAGGTTAAACTATCTAACGTACGAATGACGGACACTCTCTGGTCCAATTAACGCTTTCACCCGTTTACGTGTGTCGAGGACGAACTACAGACGATAGCTATAGCGGTATGCTACAGTATGGCGCATCCGGAAATCACCGTCGACCCTTCCGAATAAATTTATGATGCTGATAAAAGGGGCATGAGCAGTACACAATTACTCCTCAGTCATTAGATTTATGGTGCAGTGCTTTAATATCTAGGTCGGGGAGCATAACGATATTCCGGGCTTCGGCTTCTTGACCTTCTTCGCCTCCTACCGCCATCATTGTAACTCGATCTCTCGTTTCCCCATTCTCTCCCCCCTCTACCGTATGTGCCAGATTGGTAATTGCCATACTGTACTCGTCTTCCATCAAATTCTTCGGCTGCGTTGCCGCCACCGCCATGCCCTCTACCGTCTCCTCCTGGTAAAGCTGAATTGAATGAAAGGGAATCCACAACAGTTGGATCAAATCTACCAGGACGGTTCACATTCTTGTCGTTTCCACCCAAACTAGATGAAAGCAAAGAAATTTTAGTGTGAGGAGAAAAAGGCAAAAAAAGGCAACAGGGTTTGGTACAACTACTATCCATTCACTTACCGAGTTCCACCAAGTCCACCGCCTAATCGTCGAGGTAGCCATGAGGGTACAGTGTGACCACGTTCGACATCCACCACTATATATCTTCCCTCGATCTTCATTCCATCAGCTCCTCTGTATGCTCGTTTCATATCATCTTCGTTTTCATATTCGACGAATCCATATCCCTTTGATTTACCAGCTTTGTCTCGCACCAACTTAAGATCCTTAACTGGACCAAATGTTTCCATCTCACGCAGTAGCTTACGTTCTGTAACTTCAAATGCTAGTCTCCCAATGAAGAGTGTATTGTAGCAGTTCATTCCCTGATATTCACCACCGAGGTCTTGTTGGTCCTTTCTGAATTTTTCAATTTCCGGTTCCAATTTCTTCAAATGTTCCCTCTCCCGTCGTTCTTTTTGTTCCTTCCTTAGCTTTTTTGGTGTTAGCGTCGGAACTTTTTCCTTTGGCTTTCCAGTCTCAAATTCCTTCAGAAATCGTTGAACTCCACTAATTTGCGTTTTCCGACGCTTCGGTAACGGAGGAATCTGCTCCAATGGTGGGTTTGGCATGAAAGTTGCCCTGATATGTGGGGGCATCATCATCACAGCTGGCCCTGAGTTCGCTCCACGCGACATTTGCCCTTTTCTCGACATGATTATTTGGACTCGCTACAATGTGGATTCGTATTGCAACTTCTCTGAAAGGTGGAAAAGTGTTGACGCGGTGATAGGTGTACTCTAAGAAAGAATTCCGAATTGGATCCAACCTCTTCCCTTTTGATGATGTTGATTTTGATTGCAAACCGTCGTTACTCACACCTCTTATTATTCGTAGCACGGCCTTGCTCGTAATTTCTCCACAGCTACAGGGGGGACACGCCTCGGATTGTAGTGAAACCAAAGTGTGACGGGAGACAGACAGACTTTTCCTCCCCCCTCAGCACGGGGACGGCCGCGAAAATCAACATTTACTCCCAAGAATTGTATGCTAAATTTCTATTTCCCGGCCGTTCCGAGGCATCGAATTCAAGGGTTCTTGTTTTATGGTGGTGGGCTCTTTAGTGAAATTTTAGCCAATGAGAGTTAGTCGATTCACTAAAGATGAGTCTATTATTAGTGGTATGAGCCAATCACAGCTCTCTATCACTAATGATGGATTCGACTAACTCTGTTCCACACTAAATTAGTACTCTCCACAGACTTCAAATGATGTTAGGGGGGCGTAACGTGACTGACTGGACTGCCGAGTCCCGAGCAGATATATTAGAGCGATCGAAGGCCAACGGTCGTCGCCAATCTCAAGCCCAAGATCAATCATCTATCATCTACTCACAGCTGCTTCAGACCCCCGTAAATACACCTCAATAGCAATATCAATCACCGTCTATCATGTCCAACAGTAGCTACATCAATGCACTAGTACGCTCTCTCCACGATGAGAGCCAGGAGCACAATGTTGTCACGTTAAGTGGAAGCCAGCCCGAAATTCGAAGCCCCCATTCGCAGTCAGAGCCACCAAGTTTGTTCACACCATCGGCCAACACATGGGGAGGACAGTTCAACCCTGATCATTTCCAGCGCAACGAGTTCGCTATGATGTCAGCAAGTCCTGTCAATGTGGAGAATGCAGCGTTCGCCGCGATGACTGCCGCGTCGCATCACAAATATGAAAAAAATGAAAAAAGGAGCGATCGCATCAACGAGAAATCGTATTGGGTCAACGGAAGCCACGTGGACAAAACCATCACCTACAACCAGTATACCATCGATACTGCCGTCCTAGCTCCAACCACAGAGTCTCCGGAAATCAAGCAAGCGATCCTACAACAGTCTGTGAACTCCATCAAGCAGACAAAGACAACAATGGAACACAAGGTGGATTTCTTGATGAAACGCTACACATCAGTATGCCCAGACGTTCGCTCGCGAGTCAACGCCGCCACCAGCAAATTGTTCAACGTGACTAGTGACGTGTACAAATTCACAAGCCTGCACGTCATCGACAACATGGGACAAGCGATTGCTACAGGACCGGGACCAGGACTTCCAGCACCATTAAGAGCCGCTGCCACATACTTCCGAATCGAGCTCCGATTGGTCCCACGGCTGTGTTCCCTACGAACTGACATTGGAATAAACCCAACAAAGTTCCCACCATCTTCCAACAGAGCTGTATACGCTCCAGTGCCAAGAGTCCAGAACCAGATGGACGTATCCATCACTCGCCAAATGGTAACGGACCAAGCACATCACAAGGAAATCATCGCAGCAATGGCAGCACTAGGAGAAGAGTTCTCGATGAGAGCTGCGACCAGAGACGGAGAGCCCGATAACGAAGCCTACGAAAAGTGGTCTAAGCAACAGATCGCAAAGACCCAATTCCAAGCGCTCGAACAAGCACTCACAGCCACCTACGTCGGACTACAACAAGGAATGGAGACGTCAAACCAACAACTGGCAAAACTCAACATGATCCGATACGAAGGAGGCACGATGATGTACGACAGCGTGGCTACTTTATTTGGCAGAATTGCCACAATTCTAAATGGGTTCAACCACGAGAATCCCCCGCCAACCAACCTATCAGACTTGGCAGGAGTAGCGTTCCAAGCCTTCACACAAGAAATCAAGGACATTGTGGCTGAACACCTAGAGACAGGAGCAGCAGGACCACTATTTATGGACTACCCCAGCAACCTGTCTCGAATGCACCGCCTACGCGAACGAGCAGAGAAAGAAGAGAAGCGCATCAAGCAACTCGTGGGAATTGCAAACGGCGCGGGACTAGTCAGATCAAACAGAAGCTGCGTTCCAGGACCATCTGCACCAACAAGACCAGGAGGAAGAGCTTTTGCGGGATTCCACCAACAAGGATTCCAAGGATTCCAAGACAACTACTCCTTCCAAACTCCAAAGATTGCGACTGCTGGAACCTTCCACACCGCATTGACAACCCCTACAGCACCAGAGCGAAATGTTCGAGTCACCGACGGACAAGGAAGACAATTGTTGGTCCCGACATCCGACAGCAAACTATACTGCCCACAAGCTGCCCTAACAATGCTAGCATGCATGAGTGCCGCCAAAGAAGCATTCAACATCGAAGAAGAAAGTGACAAAACATCCTCGATCCATTGTTGGGGATGCCAAAAGATAGGCCACACATTCCGAGAATGCCCCCACAAAGGAGATCCGGGAGTTATCAGCCAGTTTGAAAAAAGCCTAGAGGACTACAGACTAAAGAGAGAGCAGAGACGACACAAAAGCGAGATAACAAGTTACAAGGACAGCGGTTACATTAATCACATAGTTTATGAAACAATTCAAAAGATTGAGCATCCAGAAACGCGGGAAGATGAACGAAGAACACTGTTAGTAAACTTGGCCAAAACAGTCACCGAGCACATGGGCAAAAACAGCGGACACAAGAGGAAGCAAATGAGAACGGATCCCCCACTCACTTTCATGACGGTCGGAAGCTTTGCAACAATGGAACAAGCGCAAAAATTGGACTTCTCAGTGAAGGAAGTCCTAGCAGTGATGCACTTCCCAATCGGCCTCAACCTCGGAGACACAGCCAACTTGAAAGGAATATACGGCACTGGAGGATGCTGCAACATAGGAGAAAAAGCATACCACCTCACCATCGCAAAACAATACCCCCAATTGGTCAAACAGGTGTACGACTTTCCACAGATTCACTACGCCCCCATCAAGATTGGAGGAATCAAAGACAGCGTCAACATCGAGGCAATCATTGAATACTACATCCCTTTCGCCAATGAGGATGGAGAAAATCACACGTTGATGATTGGATTGACGGAGCAACTACCCATCAACACACTCTTTGGATTACCATTCATGTTGAAGGCAAAGATGGCGCCAGACTTTCATCGAAAAACAGTAACTTCAAGCCTCTTCAACCAGGAATTTGAAATCACCATGGAGCAACCCACAATGCTTCCAGTGGAACACATCAGAAGAGATCAAGCAGCGTCACCCAAAGTACTATTCAACAACAACAAGAAAGAGACAGGACAGAAAGCCATCATCATCAGAAAACACCAACACAGCGCGCCCAACACCACCACCAACATTACACCGAAGAAAACATAACGCAGATCAATCAAGAGACGAGCGCACCACAGATAAAAAGAAAGAAAGAAAAAAGAAGAAAAAAAAAAGGAAGAGACCCATAACATGCGCAAAAACTATACAAAGAAACCCATAACACGCGAAAAAAAAAACTATACAACGAAACCCATAACACGCGCAAAAACTATACAATGAAACCCATAACACGCGCGAAAACTACACAACGAACCGAAAAATATATATCGCCCCGAAAAAAAGAAAGAAAAAAAAAAAAGAAAAAAAAAACACGGACACACACACATGTAAATATTATCGTCACTGTGTTACGATATTGTAGCCTTACGAAGTAGTAGCTATGGTAGACGGTAGACAGTATTGTAATCAAACGTATTCTTAAAAAGAGTGTGTTCATCATTCATCGACAGCTTTTGTAAGCAGCCGATTTATCCTTACTACCCACAGACCGTTTACAATCGTACACGTTCGTATCAGTACGGCGCATCTCGCATCCTATAGCACAGTCACCTTTATTTGGTCCCCTCAAGCTGGATACCAACGATGGAATTCAGTTCGATAACATGACTAGTACATCCATTCGCCATACAGGCGTCCCTGTCTTTCCAGGGTCAACCGCTTCGTGAAGGCATCAGCGAGGTTTAACATTCCTGGTGTCCATGATACATCAACAACTCCAGCAGCCGCGTTCCATCTTGTATAATGGTATGCTATGGAATTGTGCTTCTTGTTCAAGGTCGATTCGACCTTCGTTGCATTCGTCACCACCCTCTCATTGTCGCAAACTATGTGTGTTGGTTCATCCTCCAAAGGGATTCCAAACATCCTCAACTTGAATCTCAAATGTGTGATGGCCTCAATGCATGCTTTCAAGGCGATAAACTCCGAACCAAAAGTGCTCGCTTCTACCGTGTTCTGCCTTTTGCTGTGCCATAATATGGGAGCTCGATTGAGGAAGATCACGTAACCCGTATGTGATTTTCGTGTCTTCTTGTTAGCACCGTGAGAAGCATCTACCCATGCGGTAC